TTTTCTTTTCCTTTAAAAAACTCCTTTTACCCATTACTTTTTCATACCTCACCTATCATATCATTCCTTTTTACTAATAATCTACATATCACATCTTACTTTTACACATCATATCAAGAGTTTTTTTTGGAAAGTCAACACAAAAATATCATTCTCATAAATCTTCAAAAAGTCAAAAAAGAAAGTTTATTTAGGGACGGAGGGAGTATAATTTTGATGTTACTTTGTACTTTTTAATTTTACACTTTATAATATGATAGAATATGATGTGTAAGATATAAAAATCATAATTAGAAAATTACATGGCAATTACATATTTTTAAGTCGGGTCTTATTTCAAACAAGAAAAGTTTTTTTGAGACGGAGGGAATACATTGTATTTTATGAGATTATCAATAGAAACACATAAAAAACAAAATACTAGTACGTAATTAGAAGTCTTAAATAATAAAAAGAGTGATAGTTCAGAAATTCAGGGAATACAAAAATGTCTTCAAATTGTATTCTTTCATTAATATTTTAGTTAGTCCCAAAATATTTGTCTCAAACATTTTTTTTAAAACTTTTGAAATATTTTTTAAATATATATGTAAATAAGTAAATTTAATCTGTATTTCTTATTGTTATACCAATTTAGAAATACAATAATTTAAAAAGTGAAATTACTTGAATGAGATTTGTACAGAGAAGTGATAATTAAAATCGAACATAACACTCGTCTCATTATTTAAAAATTGAGAATTATAATTTTAGACAACTTACGGAAGAAGTAAAAAGTATACTGATTGCATATACTCTAATCACTTGCAACCAAATATAATCTATAGATTTATACTTTCTTTATTTTAAAATTTACCTTTTTTTGTGCGTTCCAAAATAAAATTTGTATTTATTTTTTTTTCAAAATTGAAATCCCAAGCAAATTCAAATATTATACCTATTAAATGTTTTTTCATGAAATCCGTGACAATATTTTTTGTGACAATATTACAAGTTAGTTTGTTTTCATAATATTTTCAATCTAATGACGTGTCAATGCCTCCTCCTCAGTTGTAATTCGAATTTGGGTGAATTTTTCCATGAATTCTAGAGAATAGACTTTGTACGGCTCAAGTTAGGGAAAAGATTCCATTCGTGATAATATTAAAATTTGAATTAATTTGGAGAAAAGACTAAAATAGAACTAAAATATATCAAAATAGAAGTTCTATTTTTTATTTTCGAAATAGGAGTTAAAATGCATTTACATCACCAATCGTGGCTATTTACATTACGTAAAATACACATGCACAGTGTAACATTACCACGGTGTGAACTTCTTCTATTTAAGAAATAAAAATGCAAACTCCTATTTTGGTATTTTCTATATGTTTTAGTGCTATTTAGAGTGATTTGTTACTCCCTCCGTCTCAAAATATTTGCAACATTAGTTTTTTAAGGAGTCGCGGGAACTTTTGTTTATTTCTATGTTTTAATTAGTTAATTGATAAAATAAAATATTCTTGACATATCTTATTTCGAAAAATTTTTCATGTAGTTTTTTGATATGTAAATTTTATTTTTTATTTTTATACTAATATGTAAATAAAATTAATTTAAAAAACTTGATATTTTACCTCGAGAATACAAGTATATCAAATATTTAGGGATGGAAGGAGTATTAATTTGAATGTGGCCGTCACATTAGTTATTATGTCATTTGTTTTTTTATGGATATTATCTCATTTGTGGAGATCAAAGTACATTACAACACACACAACAATGTAACATGATCGAAAATAAATGATTGACACTTTGACAGTGTTTGTTCCCACGTACAAGAACACATATGAAGACGCTTCGATCTTTGTCATTCAATTTGCAAATGAAAATTTTCAATTTCCACCTGTTTTGTCCGATTTGAAACAATTTTTTTTTTGATTTTTTCTATTTTTAAAGAAAGATCGAAAAGAACAAAAAACAACTTATAATATCTCTCTAAACAAATTTAATTTCGATATTTTTCGGTATTTTCACTTTTAAAGAAGTTATTTTTCTAAAATCCAATGGAGAGTTTGTTTAAAAATAACTTATAAATTGTTTTAAACATATACTTCACCCTTTTTGAAAAAGAAGTCTCTTTTTTATTTTTGGCAAATTTAAAAAGAGTACAACTTAAAGCCAGATTTCCAAAAATACCCTTAAGGTTTCGGTCGAACGAGTCAACAAGCAAAAAAGAGATTACATTACACATGAACAAAATGTCATTGCCAAAGATCAAGGTCACTTTATTGCCGCAAAAATTGAATGTCTTAGAGGAAGTTATGAAGTGAGAGAGGCAGAAGTTGTTGCTATAAAGGAAGCATTAAGCTCGATAAAGGTCATGCATTGGAAGAAACTCATTGCAAAGACTGACTACAAGGATGTACGGTTCTTTTGAACAATTTTGATATTGATTGGTGTTATTTTAATTCTATCATTGACGATTGTAAAAGTCAATGATAGTACTTTCTCTTTATTAGATCTTTATTTGATTCAATCTGAAAAATGACAATGAATTGTTGTTTCTTGAAAAAATGAGACCTCATCATATTGTAAACGATCCACGCACAAGACAAACGAGAAAAGATTTTCAATAATCCCTAATTACAATAATGTCATCCTTGGTGAATTTTGTAATCCGATCTCCATTCACCTCATCAACTTAAATAAATCTGAGGTTAAAGCAAAGACCTTATTACCAACCACTTCTGCATATAGTTTTTGCTTAAGATCATCTTCATTGGTGATCATATCTTACCTGCTCCATGATTGAGTCTCCTTTGAAGTACTAGCATGTTCAAATTGTGATCCAGATGTTATTGTTCTATAAGCAATGTTCTGAAAACTAAACCAAATATTGACCTAGACGAGGGGGTTGGTCAAGAGCTAACCGGTTGAACTATGGTCAACATGGGTCAACGGTCATTAGTAGCCCAGTCAATAATTTTACGAAGTAACATAAAAATATGTAAATGTGCTTCCAAAAAATGTAAATGTCTACCATATTACGGAACATTTATGGTGCTTGCATTTCAAAAAATATGTTTGAAGCATACATTCAAATGGAAGATAATGTACATATGTATTGCAGTAACGTTCATACTCCATAGAGGATTCAATAAAATTTAAAATTCAAAAAAGTAATTGCACCATGTTTTCAAGTTTTAAAAAATAAATGTGTATCTATTCACCAAAACCAACATCATCATTCCCATTTCTATTCATTCCACCGTCCATGTCAATTTCTTCAAGAATTATGTATGTGCTCATCATCGTCTTTGTTGTTTTCTTTATCACGTTCTACAACAATATACAAGAAAAAATTGATGTAAACAATTCAAATATACAAGTACATAATTGATGTAAATAATTCAAATCCAAGTTTGAAATGAAATAAAATATATGAATATACTCATTAAGAGGTTAAAATATACCAACAATTCTAGAATCTAATGACGTAGAATCTCTAGGTTCAATCTCTTCAAGCATCTCCTCCAATTCATTATAATCAAATTTTCCGATCCTTCTTGCTTTTACTCCACAATTCAAAACTTAATTTTGTCAATCGATTCATAACCAATTGGGGCATATAATCTCTTTGCATCTTTGAACCTTTGAGTTAAATAGCATTAAACAAACTGGAATTTGCAGTAAATGGGACTAAAACAACTAGAAGATATTGTTTGGCTAATATTGAATGTATATAAATACTCCAGTTTCTCTCGCAATTAGAAAATATTGTTTGGCTAAGAATTCAAATAACCAACTCTTTCAAATATGGAGAATCACCACCAAACATTATCCACCATTCATCTATTGCAACAATATTACAAAGTATAATTAAAAGTTTAGATACTAAGTTTTAAAAATAAAGATGAATCAGTTATATATTTTTTACCCAGGAGTGAATCACGTGATGTCGTAATTGCAAAAACACTTTCAAAAGATCCCAATGTCTCGTGAAATAATCTAATCTCATCTTATGTCTTTCTCTTATCTCCCACATTTTGAGTGTTAATGACATGCAAAAGTCTTTCCAAAACGGTAAGCTCTTTATTACAAACATTTGATGGATCATATTGAAAGGCAGGGTTTAAATAATATAAAGTGACATGAATATTTGTCACCACCATCACCACCCTCCTCCTCCTCTGCCGATATCCATCCTCTCCATCGCTGCCACCATTAAAATCATTTAGGTTTTCATGGAGATATGCCTCCAGCTGTTGCAGTGCTAATAATCTCACAGCGAGTTCAAATACTATAGATTTAAAAATCTTCCAAGTCGCAACAAATTTCCATTTCCTCTGCCGCCTATTTACATTCTCCCTCGCCATTGTTTCTGGATTTGTGGACTTTCCCTATTGTAACCAAACACTAGAAAATGACTTCTGTAAAATACATCATAGTCTAGAATTCATTCTCTAGAAACCATTTTACTCGTTAGTTTTTTCTAATTAAAGATGTACATTTGATTCAGATTTTACCCACTAAAAGAATGAGTAAATTTTCGAGATGGTACTTCTCTATAATAGGATGTTTTCTCAATTCAGTCTTCAATAAATTTAAATTACCTACATGGTCTTATACAATTGAGATTTAATCCCTAGATAGTCCTTCACAAATATTGTTACTCAAGTAATGATTAATTAAGGATGATTTTGATATTCTTTATCAGCTATATTTAAAATAAGTTCTTAAAATGATCATTTTAATGAAGTACTTTCTAAATTAGTTTTTTCTAATTAAAGATGTATATTTGATTCAAATTTTAATTTTTTATAGGTTTTTAATAATCCACGAATTATGTATGATCAATGTATTCTTTTAATCTAACATTTAATTGAATATAAATGTCTATTTTGAGAATATACTTTAAGCTTAAATCAAAATATCCTTTAATTTATCATCATTCGAATAACATTATTTATAAAAGACTATATAAGAAATAAATCTTAATTATAATAAACTATGCAAGTATTTAAAATTCATTGAGAAGGGGATTGAGAAAATATGTTGGAACGAGTAAAACAAATGGTCAAGACGGGTTATCACAAAAAAAATGACCGACAGATAGCTCCTGAGTCCTGACCCAGGCTGCGCCGTTCGACCGCACCAGCCAGTTCTTCCGATTGCCCGTTGCCGTGGCACCCTCCTTCCGCCCCGGACACACTCGTCCTACCGCCGTGCCCAGGTGTACTCGCATTCAACCGGTTAATCCACTCTCTAAGGTAATTTTCTCCGCTTATCAGTTGATTCTAGGTAACACGGCGATGACCTAATTGAGTACAGTGATGATTATAGGTAATTGAAAACACCATGTGGATTTACATAATTCAAATTAATTGAGTTTGGTGATGATTCTAGGTCAAGGGGTTTCCAATTAATCTATATTCGGGGCTGACTCAGGATAGTGACGATTCTAACAAATGCTTTTTTGTTTAATCATTTGAATTTTTTTAATAACTGGAGTTATGAATCCCAGGTACAATTTATGCAAACTGAACTAGTTGATCAACTTATTTGATAATTCATTTGAATATTTTGGTTGATATATAATTTTGTTTTCTGTTTTTTTCTGGATAATTACATAAAATTATCTGGACTTGTGTAGTTATGTGTAGTATTTGGTCTAGTTATTCTACTTAGAGCTCAAGGAAGTGCACACAACTAACTTCTATTGCTTCTATAGGTTTTCCTTATGAAATTTGTAATTGAGAACGCTTCACCCGCTGCATTTTTCTATACTAGAGAGTAAAGACCATCGATTAACATGACCACAAATTTAGCTTTTTTATTAGTAAGTGAAGTAGATGGACTGATGAGCTTGTTTGCAATTTATTTTCATTTTTAAAGTGTGGTAAAGATGGATATGTCTAAGTCTTTCATCCTCATTTGAGACTTTTGACAAGAAATCATCAAACTGAAAGAACAACTTTATCTTGAAAACATTTCTGATGTAGAGTCTATGGCTTTGAAAAATCAGTTTGAGAATTATACGTTGAATGTTTATTCAAATAGTAGATTTTTAAGTTTACTTTTGTAGAGTATCAATAATTAAATCGCAACTAAAGGGTTCGAGACCCCATGGTTCGAGATTGTCGAATCGGCCTCTAGACCTACACACCGTGGCTTCAGGGGTGTCGCCATAACCGAGTTGCATTTCTGCCCTGCCACTGGCTACACATAAAAATATATTGATGCATAAGTTTACTGTTAACATTACTAGGATTATTTGAAAATTTTCAGATGTATTTTTTTTCTGCAGTACAACTTCCTTTGATGTCTTATGGATTCTTTGGAATGCAACAAATGGTTTTGCAATGGTTAATAACCATTTGGAAATTCGTAACTTTGCATTTTTTTAGGTTACAAAATTATAGAGATGGAAGATCAATTCCATAATTCACTGGTTTTGCTTTATGGTTTTGAGTTCTATAATCTCTGAATGAATTTACAAATGTTAGGTCCTGTCTGAAACTATGATGTATCTCTCACTATCCCCCCATTCAATCCAGTTAAATGAGGTTGGTCGGTTTACAAAATGTTGGCCACCAATATGGTTGATTTTATAATTTTTTAAGAAATTTCAAAACTGTAAACTTAAAAGAGATGAAATGAATGTCTCAATAAGAAAAGTAAAAATTAATGTCAATAACCCCATGTTTGGGCCATCCTATACTAATATCCCAAGGTCTGAATCTTCCATTAATAAGTTTGTTGCATATGAATGCTAATGGTCCCCATCTCTTGGGCAATGCGTTCTTAGACGAGATTGTTCTGATCTTTCTACTCGTTGTCCATCCCCTTTCTCTTAATCCAGAATCTTTCGTAAAACTCACCACGGGGAAGTAGAGACCATTAACATCAAAATGGCACAAACTTGGGATTATTGATGAGAAAGTTGAAACTTGGGATTATGAGTGTAAAAGGGGCTAACCTTATGGTTATTTGCATCAATTTTTCAGTAAGGCCTAATTTTGACTCCTTAGAATCTTATATTGGAAGGAGAATATTTTTATTGCAGATTCCTATGTAATTAACATAATTTTTCTTCATCCTTGCATCAGAGATTCAGATGTCTAATGATGTGGAAAAATCAAAAGGCGAAAATACTACAGATTCTCTTCATGCTCCTCCTCCTCCTCCTCTGCCCCATGATGTCCAGTCCACATGGTATAATAACTTATTTCAGCAAGCATCTGTTTATGGCGTAGCAGCAGGCTATTGCATTTCAGCATCATTGTTGTCCATCATTAACAAGTGGGCCATAATGAAATTCCCTTACCCGGGTGCCCTAACAGCGCTTCAGTACTTCACAAGTGCAGCCGGAGTCCTCATTTGTGGGTGGCTCAAATTGATAGAACGTGACAATCTTGAGCTTGTCACCTTGTGGAGATTCCTACCTGCAGCAATAATTTTTTACCTTTCTCTTTTCACAAACAGTGAGCTTCTTCTACACGCCAATGTTGACACTTTTATTGTCTTCAGATCAGCAGTCCCCATCTTTGTGGCAATAGGGGAGACCTTATATCTCCACCAGCCTTGGCCAACACTAAAGACATTTTTGTCCCTAGGTACCATCTTTGCAGGAAGTGTGGTTTATGTCATGACAGATTATCAGATCACCCTAACTGCTTATGGTTGGGCATTGGCTTACTTGTTGAGCATGTCTGTTGACTTTGTCTACATCAAACACGTCGTTATGACTATTGGATTGAATACGTGGGGCCTAGTGTTGTATAACAACCTTGAGGCGCTTTTGCTTTTTCCGATCGAGCTTCTCATAATGGGGGAGCTGAAGAAGATCGAGCATGAGATTAGGGACGAGTCAGATTGGTACAGTCTTCAAGTGGTCTTACCCGTGGCTCTCTCGTGCCTGTTTGGTTTGTCCATTTCTTTCTTCGGGTTTTCTTGTCGCAAGGCAATCTCAGCGACCGGATTCACAGTGCTTGGCATAGTTAACAAGCTCTTGACCGTCGTTATAAATCTTGTCATATGGGACAAACACTCATCCTTTGTTGGGACCGTGGGGCTGCTGATATGCATGTTTGGTGGCATCATGTACCAACGGTCGACAACAACCAATAAACCCAAGGAAGCGGGAGACTCGGGCCCACAAGCGGGGGACGAGGAACAACAAAAGCTGCTCGAAATGCAGGACAACAGAAATGGAACCCAAGATGCAGAATCCCTAGGAGGAAAGTAGCAAGTTTTTGGAGATGAACACAAATGTCATTCTTTTTGAAATTTTGTGTTATAATGATTCGTCTGCCAACTGCCATTGATTCAGGCGCATTTGTACAGTCTCAGTTTGAGAGAGCAACATGATTCCTTCTGCACGTTTTTAGTTGTCTTCTTGAAGTGTTAATGATATGTATGGTGATCAAATCTGTGTGAAATGTAATTTTGCACTTGAAATGCTACACATTATATGGGTGTTTGGTAACTGGTTGGAAGGATTTTTTTTTGGTGAAATAAAATGGTTGGTAAAGAGTTAAGCTTAAGGGAAATTTACTTATATAGTACTAAAATATATTGAGTTATGTTTTAATTTTCCAGTGTAATACCATTGTTCAATGTCCATTGGACATTGCTCAAGTAAATGTCTACCGTCACTAGACATTGTTCAAGTACTATTTAAGAAATAAAAAGTTTTAGATATTACATTGAAAAGAGACATGTTTTAGTACTATTTAGTGCAAATTTCACTGAACTAAAAGAAGTCTTTCACTTTTGGCTGAATAGTTATTGTAGAAGTGTTGGGTAAGAGCATCTCTTATCATGTATAATACCCCGGAGCTAGTCATTCTAATTAAGTAATTATTATTTTAATTCTGTTTGAGTCTTATTTTCTAACAAAGCCCACATTAGGAATTTAATAAAATACTTAAATAGCCATAAGGAAATTACTAATAAGCCAGGTAATACAAACCCCTCATAGAAATAACTAAAGGCTGTCAAATAGGGCCTATAAGTATTCAGTCCCTTATTCATTCTCTCCCAACATTTTCATTTGTGGGAAATTGTCAAAGTGAAACAATCAAATCACTTCCTCTCCCATTAATTGGAACAACAGACGCGACCGGTCTGTTATTCAATCAACCACGGCTCGTGAGCCGGTGTCCATGTGCATAATTCTCCTTCTTTGAACCAAAGATCTGCACAAAAAGGAAGAGAGATGGTGCATTACAGCTTATTTCACCCTGTAGAAGCAGCTTGTTTTTAGTAAAAGGTTTGTAAACAAAGAGAACAATCCTAAGCCAATGACAACAACAACAATCTAATAAGCAATCTTATTCTTTATCCTTACTTGAAATAGAGAGACTCTTTACAAGAGGCTCCCGGCTCAACACAAAAACACAGACAAAGTAAACATAACACTAGACCCAAAGACACAAAAAAAAAGGTCTATCCAACTCCTCTAATCCATCCAAGCTCTCGAGGCACTCCTATCTAAAGTCATATCCTCTGCAAGGTATTGAAGTCGTAAGTTCTGTCGGGTCAAACTCTTGCTAGGTCTATCTCTACCCTTACTCATGCCCATTATCTATGCCAAGTAGCAGAATAAAAACTAGAGAAGATATATGCAAACTTCATTGAGCCAGTTAACCATAAGAACAACAAATCCAGTAAAATTGCACAAAAAAGTAGGGTCTATCCATCCAGTTAACTTAAAAAAGGTTTCCTTTATAAAACGTAAAGCAAAACCCAGGAAAAAAGGCATACCGATTTCACGCTCGCCATTCTCAGGGCTATCACTTCCATGTATCACATTCCTGCACTCATACAAAAATCTTGGGTTCAATAACTAAACCTCTTGACCCCACCTCCACTATTAAAAGGAAAAAAAGACCTAGCTGACCTTCCAGTTTGAAGAGAAAAGTCGCCTCTGATGGTACCGGGTAGAGCATCAAGAGGATTGGTAGCTCCTATTAACTTTCGGGCTGATGCAACGACACCAATTCCCTCCCAAGCCTAAACATGATCAAGAAGGTTTGATGCTTCTTTAAACAGCTCAATAAAGCTTAGAAGGACTGCTCATATACTTACAATCAGATTTGGAGGTTATTTTATAAACGAGCAAACAAAAAAAAGAACTTTACCATACACACAACAGGACCAGATGTAATGTATTTGATCAGCTTAGGAAAGAAAGGTTTGGACTTTAGATCCTTGTAATGCTCCTGTTACCATTAAAAACACGTCAATACAAACAGCCTAAACTCTTGAAGGCATATAATACATGTGGATATACTGGGCTAACTGTAAATGAATAATGAGTCAAATGAGCATTCTTTGAAGGGAAAATGATCAGAATAGAACAACATAAACACATAAAAGATGGGAAATGAACATTCTTTAGGAGAACAATGAACAATCTTCAAAAAGATCATAAAAATGACACAAGAACATGATAATGCACAACACAAAACAGCCCAAAAGTCATTGATTAGCTAAAGTTAAAAGCTTGAGGAAGACAAACCTCTGCCAACTCATTGGGGCATTGGAAGAGCTTTAGCCCTATTAGCTTAAACCCCTTTCTCTCAAACCTAGAAATGATCTCTCCAACCTATCATAAACAATGGAGCAGGGATAATTACTTTACATTATACAATCGAATTACTGCAAATCAATAAAGAAAAATTAAAAAGATTATATGAAATCTCACAAGGCCCCTCTGGACACCATCCGGCTTGATCATTATATAAGTCTGCTGCGTCTCTTCCTGCATACAAAATCAAGAAAAACAAATGAGTCCCATTCCACTCTGGGTCATCCACAAATTCGATTAGCACAGAAAATTACCATGGAAGCAACCAATTGAGGAAGAAAGATTTGATCTTTGCTTTGGGCACGGAGGCTGCGACATGGAGAATAAGAGAAAAGACGGTGGACTGGGTTCAATGATGGTAGGTGGTTGGCGGCGGCGCGTACGGATAAATTCCGGGAGCCGGCGGGGATGTAGGTTAAGTGAAATGTTTTCTTCGCCGGTGAGTGAGAAGCAGAGAGTGCGGAAGAAACGCAAGGAAACGCAGAAGATTTTACAGTCCTTAGACCCTCCATTCTATCCCTCGCTCCGCCGGTTCTTGGTTTTCCAGGAATTAAGTTATTACAGTGTGCATTGTAATTTGTAAATTGTCTCAGTCACCCTTGACATGAAGCACGAGTGTAGACCTCCACCCGTCCGGACTAGTTGCTGCTGGGTGAAGGCTTGTTTGTGAATAACTTTAACGCTAGACATCTTTGGAAATAGCGTTAGAGATTAGTTTTAACGGTGCTGATTACTTTTAAAACGCTAAACGCTGTCCGTAGATAACCTTTTCAAAATGCTGACGCTAATCTCTAACGCTATCCCCAAACAGGCCAAAAAACTACCGTCAGATAGCATTTCCAAAATGCCAATGTTAACCTCTAACCTTGATTCCAAACATGCCTAAGATACCCCCACCAGTACCGGTGGCCGTATGTCCCGGTTCTAAAATAGTCTAGGTCCTGTTTGGGTTCAAAAACTTTTTTATTTTAATTTTTTGGGTTTCTTATTTGGATTTTTTATGTAAAGAATGGTAGTGTGTAGAGTTAGAATGTTTATCTAAATGGATTTGTTATTTGTAAAATAATGAAAGTTAGATAGTATAAGTCATAGGCTCATAGCTATGTTTAATGTTCTGATGGTTCAAAGAAAACAATGAATTAAAGAATCACAAAGAAATCTTTGAAGAAACTTATAGATCGTTTACTTAAAAAACCAAATTACATCAATTAAAAATAAAAAATGTGAAGACATGAAGTAAGTCACTCATCCGAACTACCACTTTCCTCCGTGATTGCGTCCATGTAGTTTTGCGTATTAATATCGTACCCTGCCTCTTGCCTTCGACGCCTCACCAAGAGCCAAATTCTGTCGCAAAGAGGTGTCTCTAGTGATTCAGCACTGAGACTATTCCGGAAGTCGGTAAAAATGTTGCAGCTAAAACTAAATTTTTGCTCCATGACTACCGTTGACACCGGCATAGATAACACATGTTTAGCTAGCATTCTGAATTACGGGAACATTTTGCAAAGACATTACGATCTTGTGGAACAATACGTATAAATTGATTGTATAATTTTTGAGATATAAAGATGTGCTTGCTTCCTTTCTTAAGTTTGAGCTTTCTCATGTGATCGATATGATTGAATTTATTTATGTTGAAAAACTCTCCAACGTGTTAGAAATTTTTAATTATGCAACTCTATCTTTTTACATGTTTACAAGCCAACTAGTAACAAAATCTTTTCTTAATGTATTAATTAGCATTGCTATATATTTGTGTGAAACTAGGACTCATCCGCTCTTGATACCTATGTGTCTCCTATAGAGGAAAAATGATGTGCTTATTACTTGTACATACTTAGAGTAAGAATGGGAGGGTACATATAGGAAAGGAAATTAANCGAAGGCTAATTGATATTGGCCGATTCCTTCCTAACACCGCCTCACTACTGGTACAACTATGCCCAATCACGGTATCGGTTCCCCACCCCACTTGGCTAGTTCCTGGCCGGTTCCAATTCTAGGACTGGTTCGAAACAGGAATCATATCCAAGTCTACACACGTTATCCAATGAGTTACGGAGTACTCGGTAATTTTCTTGGTTCAAACTTAAATTATTCATATTTTAATAAAATTCAAACACTTTAATATCCTAAATTATTTTTAATAGTGTGCTTTTCATGATTTCCATTAAATATTAAAAAGAAATTAACATGAATTATGAAAAGTACTCAATTAAAAATAATTTAGGATAAAAAGGCGAGTTGATTGAAGCAAAAAGTAGTTGATTGAAAATTATACCGATGAAAGGGTTTTTTTCACTAACGATTGTTGTTTTCATGAGTCTTTCTCTAGAGGCTACCTAACGACAATATTTAATTTAAAAGTTTTCAAAATTAATATAAATCATTAAAAAATATTTAAAACATTAACACTAATGGAAAACGATATTCTCAAACAATGTCTCACGTGTGGGTGTTGTTACAACTTGGAGAAAAGAGTAATATAAGGGGAAAAATATCTTATTTGACCACGAGAGGTATTTACTATTTAGCGAGATTGATCATGCGAAAATAAAATGGGACCGAGGGAATACAACCTAAACTAGGACTCAATTATATTAATTATGGAGTATTAATAAGTGGAGTAATTAGTAAGAAAGTGTTTTAAAAAATAGAGGGGGAGGGGGAACAAAAAAAATAGTATTGGGTGTTTATTATCTCCAAAGTTTTCTTCTAAAAAAGCCTCTCCTGTGCACACTTTTTAGCTCTTTCCCTGAAATGTTATCCACAAAGAATAATTAATAATTACACCAAGTCCCACCGAAGGCTGTTTGGCATCAGCTATCACGTTTAGCTTCAGCGTTTTGAAAACGCTATCCAATAATGGCTTTTGATGTCAACATTTTCTGATTTACTTTGAACCCGTCAAAAAGATTGTTCTAAATGCTAACCAGAAACGTTGTTCCAAATGAACCAGGAACTACTATTAATCAATGCATTAATTTGCAGTTAAGAATGAACTGCTTGCATTTTCCAATGTGAAACCAAACACAAGAAAACAACTTTTGCTATTTCCCCCCCCCCTTCCCGTAGCATTTTCAGCGATCCAAACATGCCCTACGGTTCTCAATCAAGAACCTCCTAAAAGAAAGACTGACCTGTAAGTCTTCCAGCCAGGTACAGTGCTTCTTCAGCAATGGGTCTCCACTGCTCAGCAACTGAATAGTTAATCCCAAGTCCAACACTGAGCCCTCTTAGTAGATGCACGGTGCGAAGAACCGAAAACAGTTCCTCCGGAAAAGCCTACAACCAGATGAGAATAAATTTCAACCATAACACGTTAAAATGCCCAAATTGCCCTCGTCTTTTAAGAGCGTACCGAAACAGCAATCTTTTTAATTGAAGATCCTTCTGCGAAAGGTTGAAGCATTGTCACGCCAGGGGGTAGTTTAGTATCAAACATAGTCTGTGCCAGCCTAAGCAATTCTTTTTGTTCATCCTCACATTGGCTCAAAGTGTCTATCCCAAGCTCTCTACCATACAGATATAAATAAACTTAGTATTCATGTGGATATACGATTTGCACTGCCATTTCTCCATTTCTGCAGTACTGGTACACAATGCAAGCTAGGCGCATCCGAGTATAAGAATGGAAGAACTTTGTTTGGTTCAATGCTTCCGTTAATATCTTTCCTATACCTGTAACTGTGCCCTGCCTTTTCTTGGTCATTATCAGCAATAGCAAGAACCAAGTTAGCATATCCTAGTCTCAAATTCTCCGGAAGGTTCTTCACTTGCCCATAGTCAAGCAATGCAACCTGAGGGAAACGACTTACGGGTAAATGTAATGCTGAACCAAACTGATACATTGTTTGGAAATGAGTACATGAAACAGATTCATGAAATAGGAAAAACGTTTGGAGATTCCCGTGAATGAAAAAACCCGCTTGCCTGTGAACCTTTACAGATGAGAATATTTCCAGGATGGGGATCTGCATGAAAGAAACCACTCCTTAGTATCATTTCCCCATATGCAAGTGATAAACTGTTAAGGATATTCCTGCATAAAAAAATTAACTTTAAATTAAAAGATAAACATATAAAAGCCCAAATGCCCATACCAATTCTTTTGAACAGATGTGTCAAACCAAAGAAATATGCTTGGAGCATGGTCATCTGTTTTCTTTGGGATGCTCACAAGTAACAAGGTATTTTTTATGGCCATCGAGAAAATATGCATGAACAGAGTTATTAGTGTTCAAAAAAAGCTGCATTCAGATTTTACCCAAAATGAACTCATAAGTGTGACTTTGGATAGCAATAAAAAGACTACAATGTTTTCCCTTTTGTTACACATATATATAGATGCCCACTTCAAAAAAATACATGCCAACGCAGGGATCCATAAATAAATAAAATGGAAAGAGAGGCCATGCCTGTTTTAAAGAATAACACTGCATCATCTCAGAGATTGAAAATATATATCACATCAGAAAGGGTTATATTTAAGGGTAAACCAGCAAGCTATGAGGGGGGGGGGGGGGGTTAAAAGAGAAAATAATGTTAGGCGTATTAAAGAGGTCCCTAACCTGTGATAGAAGTTCAAGGAATAACTGAATACATTTAATGCAAATATGCAGCTACAACTAAGATGAAAAGCAAGCACAGACATGGATATCTAGGTGCTTACTGCTTTGCGGCTACCGCCAACTTGCCACTAGGATTTATGCCTCTCTTTGCCATTTCATCCCCAATCTTAAGAATAGGTATTCCATCTATATACTCCATTGCTAGAACCCTCCTACTAACATTAAGAAAAATGATTAGTGGGCTAGGTAATGCCATAATGTCGTAATTGCACATATGCGTATGGATGTGTGTGAGAACTAATTAATGATAGAATAAACACACTCCAGAGGAGAAGAGAACTTAACTTGTGTACAATATGACCGGATAAGTGTAGTGAAATAGTAGGCTTTTCAAAAGAATCACATCAAAGATCAAAATCCATGCTGATTGCTAGTTTAATATGATACTTTTCAACAATAAAATAATTGCATATGCTTCTTCATATTGTACTATCTCTGACTATTTATGTGGGTTTCCAAGTGCACAAACATTTTGGACTCTTGTATGCAAGCCAATAACAATTTTGGGTTGTGTAGCAAGTTTGAGTTCAAAATTACAAATTTCATCTAAAGCAAATATGTTTCAACAGAACATACCTGCTGACCATACTTTGTATCACCCGTGGCACTTGAACAGTGGACTTTTTGTTATTCTCACATAGAAAATGTTGAATTCTTTGCATAGCATCAGCCTCCCTCGTGAAGTCAAATTCGTAACTAATCTTGAAGAGCACAAGTAAAAGAAACTTCATTTCAAAAAGTACTATTTCATTGCATTAGAAAATAATAAGATGATCATATACTGTGCTCCTTTAAATAAAAATGGTGATTATACAATGTGCGATTTGGAGACTTGCTGACCTGTTTCTCCATTTCCTTGGTAACGGAGAACAAATCAAACTTGATATCTGTCTTCTGCATGTACACTGCAAAGGCTTGCAGATTACGGATATCCGTCATCATTAGTTCTTGAACTCCTGGATGTTGGACCTACAGTTACAACTACAGTTAACAACCTATTTACATATGTTTTGCAGAACAATTTTTCGTCTAACCTTGACAACGATATCATTCTTGTCGCCTCTAAGCCT